GGCGTCCCCCTACGGGGGGCCGGCACCCTCCTCGGACTGCACTGACGCCTCCTCCGAGCCCACGTGAGGGTGGACGCCCACCTTGGAGCACCAGGCCAACCGTACGGGGGAGAGCAGGGGCGGGTGCGGGGGGGCCTGCTGCACAGCCTCGTGCTGCTGGCCATCAGCTTCAAGCAGCGCCGTCTAGACCTATTCGCAGGAGGAGGTGGTTTTTTTTTTCTTGGCCTCATGTTTGGAAAATGGTGGTAGCAAAAGCGAGAAGGGAAAGTAACAAGGTGAGTAACACCAGAAAAAAGGAGCGAATGCTATGCTTCTCGAGGTTTCGTGCTGGCACACGCTTTTCCTGATGGCTCTAGAAGATGCATATTCATCCCGCGGCGCTCCAGGTCTGATCCAGCTTCTGGGCAGCTGGGGAAACCAGGCCCCGGCACCTCTAAGGTACACCCGGCCTTCCACGCTTTCTTTGGGAACGGAAAGGAGGCAGAGGCTTTCAGCTCACCACGTCGCGCGCCGCCTATCACCCGCCAAGTCCTGCTCTACTTCAAAACGCACTTCCTTCAGCACAGGTGCTCTCAGTACGCGTTGGCTTTGCTGCGAGATGGCACACCACTGGAGGACGTCTGCGGGCAGGCTTGGTGGGACTCGGCTGGGAATCCCTACGCTTTCGCCCCCCCCACCAGCGGCTGGGAGACCCTGCTGGCGCCCTGCAAACTTCTCAGCTGCTTCCTCAGCTGGTCCCATTCCTCCAGCCATGGCGAAGGGACCAAGGGGGCCCACAGTGACCGTATGAGAAAGCACCTGACCGTTGCACACACACAACATCTCCAGGTGCCGATGGCCTTCTTCACCGTACTAGCAGGTCCCTGAGCAGGGCTATTGGCAAAACATCCATATTTTAAGCAGTCTAAAACACGCTCATCGTGAATCAGCATTGCCACAACCAGAGGAACTTCTGGTAATAATTCAGCTAATTCAGCCGAAAGTGTACAAAGACGGCCATGAAACCTTCCACGTCCCCACAAGTGCACCGTGTTTGGCAGGCGAAAGCTAACACGTTGAACCAGGTTATCATCACTTTTCTTTCCTTCTTGACAGCTCATTCACAATATTTATATTCGACTAAATCTGTGGCCACCACGTATGTTTATTTTTTCTCTCCCAAAGGGTTGTAGGTACCGAACGAGCACTTTCCGCCAAGAACCAACGCAGCATATCGGTTCAGACAGGAAGAAAAGCTGAGAGTTGGTTTCAGGGTTTATCACTCCTTTCCATTCATCACCCTTGATAAATATTTATAGATGCATTAGGGCACTCAGCTCCTTCCACTAAAAATAACATTCCTAAGCACCAAGAAAAAAAAAAATCACTAGTGATTGGAACTGATTACAATGTTTTCTCAGCAGCTATAAAAGTAGAGCCTAGCAAGGATTCAGACGGTGGTGAGCTTCTAACCTCAGACTACACGGCTTTGTTATTTCTCTTAATTTTAAACAAAACCCAACTTGACTCTTGAGAATTAATGCACAGATGCTAATCTAAACCTGGCAGTGGTCGTCCCGGGGCTCCCTGCTTGCAAAGAGAAGCCTAAAGAAAAGCATAGAGGCAGGATTCCCCAGGAGGCATTCATCCAGGGGTTTATGGCCCCATCGTTACGGTTGCTCCTCCTCTTGCGGTGCACTCCTCCACCCTTGACATGCCCTGTCGTTTACTCTCAGAATGACACGCAACAGCAAACACTGTGGCAACCAAACATTAATAGACAGCGCGGTGTTTTTAGAAGGTGGGTTCTTTTTGAAGGCTCTGTGCTCATTGCGCCCTTTGCATTACACGCGAGACAACGCAAAAGGGGGTCTAAACCCGCTTTTTTTCATGCATGCCAAGGGGTCAGGAGTCGAGGGGAAATAACCAGCACGTGACGTAATTATGACACCATTTGGTAGGAAATAATAATAAAAAAAAAAGATTAGTACACTTTACACGAGAGGGAGTATTATCTTTCCTTTTTTTTTTTTTTCTTCTTTTTTTTCCTTTAACCCTCCCGTGAATTGCTGAGTTCGATGGGGCATAGTCTGATTACCGTTAGCAAACACATTAATGAACACAGTACATGCAATAACCTAAGAGGCAAATGCCCACGGAGAAAGCCCTCCAGGAGGTTCAGAGCAGGCTGCTTTTATCAGCAAGGTGGTTGGGATCTTTCACAGCTGCACGGCGGTGAACGTATGGGCGGAAACGCGCCTCTTCCGAAGGACGTGGAGACGTTTTTGCAACATAAGCTCACTGCGCGACCCTCCGTGCCTGCGCCGCTGGAAACACACAACGCGGGGTGAGGAACGCCTTGCGCCCGGAGAGCCGCAGGACTCCCCGCCCGCCACGCTCCTCGAGACAAGCTCGCGCCCATTCGCAGAGCGGGACCTGCCCGCGCTGGGACCTCCTGAACCTTCTTGTGGCTTCCCCAAGGTGCGGCGCCGGTTTGGTAGGACGCTGCGCCTCCTCGGAGGCAGCCGGAGCCACCAGCGAGGTTCAGGAGGACGTAGCCGCAGGCATCCCCGGCACCGCGAACGGGACCGCGAAGAACTTGGAGGAGAACCACTGGCTTTACAGGTGATGAGAAAGGGGTTTTGCCTTCGCAGACGTGGTGGTTTTTTTGGACTCTTTCTGGAGGGCAAAGAAACCCTGAAGGAAGTTTTTCTCTCTATTTTGTCAGTTGTCTCTAATTTAGCGCTCATCGGTTCCAGCCCTTGGCTTTGCTGGAGGCACTCTTGGAGAGCAGGGAGCTTCTGGTCTTTACATCAGTGGTTAAGGGGCCAACGCTGTCAAAGACCTCCTTTTCGCCCAAGCGTTATCTAGCCATTAGCGCTAAAGGCATGTTAACAGAAAGCCACACACAGTTCTCCGGCGCTAACTTTGTCTCTAACGGTATAATTTTACTCCTTCTTGAGTTACCAGATTGTTTCCCAGCCTCGGCAAGACTTGAATTTCTCATGTAAAAAAACTATCAGGAAAACTCGCAAACCACTATCAACTTGGGCTGAGTCTGACCTGGTGATTTAAAGAGGAAAGTCTGCTTCTCCTGTCCGGTTTCTACAATTAAGCAATCTGCCGACTCCAGGTGTAACAGAATAAGACCTAGACAAAAAATGTCACCCACCCTCTCGTTCCCACTCCCTTCCTGGCTCATGAAGCGTGTGCCTACGCTACGTTTTCCAGCCACACGAACCCTCCTCCCTCGTCCCATTGGAAACGGTGAAAGATCACCTTTGTGGCTACGGCCAATATCACGTGAGCGGCTCAGAGCACAGAAATCCAATCCGGGGCCCTCCTACAAGCTTTTCCCACGGGGAAAGATAGGGATCTCGTTCCGGTTCTTCAGAGGCATTGTCCACATAGGACTCGCGCTTTCTCTGCTAACACTGTCTCATGCTCTCCAGCCACCTGTTTCTCTATCCATCTGTTGTGCCTTATTATAACCGAAGCTGCGAGCTCTTTAAGGGTAGAGATTGTATTTTTAGTACATCTGGATAGCGTCCATCACAATAGGGTCCTATTTCCTGGCTGAGGCCTCTCAGTATAAAAGTAACGCTTATAAAATAAGGGATAACGTTGGCAATGCTGGGCTCACCGACGTTCACGAGGTATTCCCGCTGACTGCAACGGCAGAACTAATAAGGTCTTAATAAGGAAAACTCGTCGCTCTTTTGAACGGTTAGGGAGCAAGTGACAGGCAGGGAATGTCCCTCCTCTTGCACGGATGTAGAAAGCAAAGGACAACGGCAGCAGGTTACCAAGCGCTCGGTCATACGCGTTACGGCAACGGCTATAGAGTAGTGCTACTGTAAACGTGAAGAAAAAAGATATCCATACTTACTTGAACTACTGTACAGTCCGTGGTCTTCTATCTAACCTGTAATATAGGGGAAAAGAAACGTTTATGAAGTAGGTAATTTTTTGTTCTTGTAAAATCAAAAATCTAACCCCCCCCCTTCCCCCCCACCTCTTACTGCTTTAATAAGTACCTCTCTTTTCAGGACTGCAAACAGCTTTACAGGCATTCGGATAAATCTCAAGCCCTGGAGATACAAGGTGGGTTACAAAAGAGTTCCTTACCATACAGGATCACAGAATAGCTGCGGTGCGAAGGCACCCCCTCGAGTTTAGCTAGTCCAATCCCGCCCTGCTCAAGGCAGAGTCAACTAAAGCAGGTTGCCCAGGACCCTGTCCAGTTGGGTCTTGAATACTTCCAAGGATGGAGACGCCAAAATCTCTCTGAGCAACCCGTGGCCTTGACCACCCTCACCATAAAAAAGTTTTTTCTTATGTTTAAATGGAATTTCCTATATTTCAGTTTGTGCCCATTGCTTCTTGTCTTTTTATTGGATACTACTGAGAGGGTCTGGCTACGGCTTTTTTTCTTCCTCCCCTCACGGTTTTTTTCACAGTGGTAACTGAGCCTTCTCTTCTCCAGGCTGAGCAGTCCTGGCTCTCTCAGCCTCTGCTCGTATGAGGGATGCTCCAGTAGCTCCACGTCTCTCTTGTGCTGGGGAGCCCAGCACTGGGCCCAGCGCTCCAGCTGTTGTTTCATCAAGGCTGAGTAGAGGGGAAGGATCAGCTCCCGGATCGACCTGCTGGCAGCCTAATGCAGGCCAGGATACCACTGGCCCTCTCTGAGTGGTACCTGACCTGGAAACCTTGCCAAAGGAGTGACGTCTGGACGTATGTGCGAACAAGGATCCTTGTAGCCATCCTCCAGGTTTCAGGAAGGCGTAACCCAAACGGGCAGTGGAGGCTGGCTGAACTGCAATGGGGTGATGCCTAATGCAACTAGACGGATGGAGCTTAGTCAGCTCCTCTGTGCTCTTCCGGGCCTGAAAACTCTAACGTAGACAACTTCTCTTAAGATACTGCCTAATTTGTAATCTCAGTCACAAAAGACGCAGCCCATTTGGCATCTTCCTGAATGATTTCAACCGGTTAAAGTAGCATGATGTCACTGCTGCATCAAATGTACGAACTCCCCAGAGGTAACGGGAGTTCAGGGGAAGAAACGTGAGGTGGATCAATTGGGGCACGCAGAGCTCTGAAATAACTTTGTGAAGAAACTTGTGTGGAAGCCAGCGGGTATTGCTGTCCTCAAGAAACGTGTCCTAAGGGAAAGCGTCTGTGAGGACCTGCATCGCCCTTGTTCTTTAAGCTGATGCAGAAGTTTTGAAACAGGCAGGCTATGTGAAGGGGTGGTACACAAGCAAGTCACTAACACCTAGAACGGGGGACCCAGTAACTACACCAGTATTACCTGGAGAAAAGCAGCGAGAAAGATGGGGCTGATACTTTAACAGAGAGGACTTAATTGTTCTTCATGTCCATTCTCGAAAGGGGCAGAAGTTATGGGCATACACTGCAGCAAGGGAGAGCCTTTCTGAACCGATGACACAAATGCAGTCACTATTCAAAAAAATAAAACCAGGAGAGCTAGAGCTCATCACGAGCGCTTGGCACTGCTGGCCGGACACTCAGACCCTGCGTAGCTGCAGTTCTGGGGTCACTCACTGGGCTCCCGCTGCAGCTGTCAATCATAACACAGGGCAGAGCATGAGAGCTTTCATCACAGCTAACCATCAGCCGGTGGCATAGCTCGGGGCTGAACCCAGAGAGTGACTCCTCCTCTCCACGTGTGCTTCGGTTTCTAGAGGAGCTTCCAGCATTTTCATAGCATTCTCAAGAGTCTAAACCCTACAGGAGGACTGTAGTTTATATATCGATCATTCCTTGATTTTTCTGCTAGATTTTCATCTAACTCACTCCATGGCATTAACAAACCACTTGATCTCTGGCAGCAATAATATTGACATTCCACAGGAAAGCTACTGGGACAAGTTCTGCTTTTGGTTATGTGTCTCCACTGCCACTGATTCCAGGGCTGATGCAATAAGTAACAGAGCAGAATTTGTCTTTCTGGGTGTCTTCTAGAATACATCACATTTCAAGTCTTCAAAATCCCCCTTTCCCTATTTCCCATGCAGGATACAATACACATTTGGAAAAAGCAGAAGCGTCATCCATTAAGAATCTAAAATATTTAACATAAGAGGAATGTTCTAGGACAAAGAGAATTCTGTGATTTAAAGCCAATGTGATACTGCTCTGAAGATTGTTGTTTTAGCTGAGGTCAAACGTATTGCACATCTCTGTGTAAACTTATCATTTCTAACACTGATGGAAAAACCATTAGGAAACAGAGCAGTCCCAAACACCTGAATGCGTCACAGAACTTACTGGACAGGAAAACCTTGGAAAACAAGCTCTTTTAGTATGAAATGTGAGACCCTTTCCTGCATGTTAGCCAGAAGAAAAATGTGCATAGAACAAAATAAGAATAAAAAGTTCAAGTTTGCTTATGCTGAAATTAGATCTGGCTCAAGTAAGACAGAAATGCTTGGGCTAAACTCGTCCCTATCCGAGTTTCTTCCTCCAGCTTTGAGTAAGTAAGGCAACAGAGCTCCTTTCACTTAAAAAATGAAAGATGAAGTAGCAAACTCCAGCAGTCCCTATCACTGTCTGCTAAGGTCTTCTTTCTGATGGGAGTACTCTCGGGGCTCGGTGATGGCTCTCTCAATCTCAGCAATAAGCTGATTGCCAGATTTGGGGTCAGGAGGGTATTTTCTCCCCAGATTAGCCGGATAGAGATTGTTAAGGATTTTGCTCTCCTCTTCAGTTTGGGCAAGGGTGACATGAGGAACAGATATTCTACGGACCCTTCTAACTCCAGCATACACTGCACGGTTGTTGGCCGGTCTTAGGGCTGCGCTCCACGCCTGCGATGACCACTGCCAGTCCTGTGAATAATATGCTAGCACAAGTTATTTATTCATTCACACCGAAGAAAGAAGTGGTCTGGGGAGGATTAGTATCTAGCCCTGAAACCCAGGGATATCAGAGATGAGAGAGACCTACTGTGAAATCCCATTTGGCCCATCACATTGCCTACACAGCATTATCACCGACAGAGTAATTTTGAACTTTTGGCCAATCTAGTTTCTGTGTTCAACCCACGGTCACAGAAGGCAGTGGTTCACCAGATGACAGCTGTTTAGTGACTTCACTGGCAACCAGCCTGCCGTTTGGTTTTTCTCATATGCTATTCCGTTCGTGTGAACCGGCTTTCTTGCAGCGCTCAAACTCGTCCTCTCGTAACACGTTTCAAATATCTGTGCATGGCCTTTGTTAAACAAAAAAAAACCCCATTCTCTGAATGCGCAGACTGTGGAAACCGTTGCAATGACGTCATCGCGAACCATGGCAGATGTGGCGAGAGCAATCCTAAACCGTGGCAGTGACTGGAGCAGAAAGACAAACCTGTTGAGTGTCTGCAGGTGGCGTAACAGTAACAGCAGTAACACGAGGCTGCCTCAACCTCGAATCGTTTGCACCAAAAGCCCTCTCTTGGGACCCTGAACGGAGAGCTTGTGAATGCGAACCGAGCTTGTACAGAGGAACAAATCAGAAAATGGTTTACAGTCCAGAGACCATATTTTGTCCTTTTACCTCGGTCCTTCCCATTCTGCACTTTTTCTGTTTCTTCTTCATCCTCTTCCTCTGCTTCAAAAAAAAAAAAAAAACACAAACAAACAAAGCATGAGACAAGGAGGCGAGAGAGTAGATACTTAGGGAACTTTTCTGTGGAAAGGAAGAACTGGCTTTTCAGGCATAGCTGATATTGGAGGGGATGAAGGGCTGGGGAGCAGGCTCCCAAGCAGAACTTGGATGGAAGTGTTGTCATCCTTCCTATGGGCACAGTGTCTATTCACTTCTGGTGGTAAAACAGTCCCCACTTCATCCTGATCAGATGCGTGGAGGTTGCAAAGTGCTAGCTGGAAGCAGCATCTGCATCGTCCAATAAGGTTGCATCCGGCCCAGGGCCTACTGGGACCAAAGTCCCTTGTGCACTCCTATTTTAGCACCGTAAGAAACAAAGAGCTACGCAATACACACGGTGGAAAGGAAGTCAAGGCTCAAAACCCAAGGTCAGCTCTAGGAAAGAAAAATGAACATGGTTTATGGTGATCCAAGGTGAAAACCCGCAGGTTCCCTCCTGAAATTGTAGAGTTTACCCATTTAGGGTGCTCAGTGACACCAATGCTCACAAAAACCACTGGGACAAAGCTATGTAACTAACAACAGGCTGTGCCCTGAGAGACAGGCTCTCATTTTATGTCTGAGAGCTGGTGGTTCATTATATTTGACTCCAGTTAAGATTAAGAGAGTTTATGGCAAGGCTCATATTTATGGAGCAGCGAGTGGGAGCAGAAGGTCACATTCTTCTGTAGATGGTGGGTCCTATCTCTCTGTGCAACATTTCAATGAGACCTATGTAAACAGGTAACGGTCATTACGAGCAGCGATATCACTTCTGCCTGTTTCACGTGCTGCCGAGAGTAAAGAAAGGGAGGAAAATCCTGCAATAAAAGGCACAATTTGAAAAATTTAGGCATTTTGAATTACTCTGATCAAAGGGGATCTTGATTAGGGAGTCATATAAACATTTGCTCTCTTTGTTGCTTTGATAACAGGACCAATGATACATATGGGATTGACAGTGCTTCTGCATACTCACTGGTGGCTACCGATGGGTCCTTAATGCCAGTGCAGAAGAGACCACCGACAAAACCTAACTCGCTTTCAACAAGAAGAGAAGGGGCTTCACAGTTTGGGCCCAGAACTTGCCTCCTGCTCAGCAGCTTTGTAGGGGCTCAGCACCTTCAGAAGCATTACGCTTGTCCTTGGACGTCAGAAGTATGCATCTTTTTAAGCTGCTTTTGAGTAAAAATGGTATCAGTGCTTCCTATCCAGCACCTAGTCAGCACCAAGAGTATGACGACTACCAGCACAGGGGAAGGCAGATCGGGGGATGATCAAACCATCTATGAGGAGCCCATACTGTGTACAGAAATAGGTAACCTTCTGTCAGCTATACCCTGCAGCAGTGTTTCTTTCCGACGTAATCTGTTTTCTGGGTTCATCCAGAGGTACTGAGAGGCAAACAGGAGGCGTGGGTAGCGCGTACAACAGCGGCTCACAAAACGCTCAAAACACAATGCAGCTATAACTGGCGGGACCTGGGGCTGGAGGAGGTGTATATTCTCACTGTTCAACTCCTGGACAGTACGTGCTAAATCCCACTGACTCTCATCAGCTGAGTATAACTCATACTTTTCCTAATTTATACAAACGAAATGATTTCAGCTACTTTCAAGGGATCCTTCTTTAGTATCTGCATATCATCAATTAGGAGATTGTAATTAATTTTATCTTCACTCCCTTGTGAACCATAACTGCGTTGCACAATACCTGACAGGACTGAAATGACTGTCAGCAGCGCAGATCTGGTTGGTTTTTTTTTTTTTTTTTTTTTTTGCATTTACCAAACTCTTAGGGATTTCAGAAGGGAGCAGGAGATGAGAAGTTTTAGCTGACGTTTCAACTCTGCCACAAGGCACCCTGGACCAGACACTGAGCTCAGCTATACCAGTGTAAATCTGTTCTTCTATTAAAAGCAAAAAATAAATTACTGCAGACATCTGTTTTGGGCAGAGAGTTTGTTCGCTGCGTTTCAGCCCAAAGGGAACAGAACTGTGGGTCTTGGAACATGGTGATTTATTAAAGAAACACAAGGCCCTTTAACTATAATGGCACTTTTATTAACTCACAGCTGCCTTTGCAGCCAAGACACAGGATTTAGACAAGGTGAATTTATTGCTCAGCAGTAAAATATCAACCTGGTTTATAACTAGGGTTTCTGCTTTATAACTATGAATTCTCTGTTAAATGTGGTGGGAACAAAAACTCTAGCTAGTTTTAAGATGGAGCTTGATAAGTTTATGGAGGGGATTATGTGATGCAACTACCGGATACAGAAAGGGGCTGGAGGAGGCGCCTTCCAGGTCTGTGAGGAACAGAAACTGTGAGTTTCAATCTGAATGCAGAATGCTTGCCTTCTTTCTTAAAGCAGAAGGCCCAGGAACAAGCTGCTGGAATGCTAAATAATCATATACTTCATCACTGACAAAGCTCGAGAGGCACAGCATCGTCCTTGGACTAGAGCATAAGCTACCGAAGCCCAATCAGCGTGTTTACTTTCCTTGGCATGGTAAAAATGCATGAAGGGAATAATTACCTTTTTTCTTTTCACATCACTATTTAATGCCTTGTTGAAATGGGACTCACGTACATTGTGCTATATATTTGTGAGTACTGCATCTAATGGGGATTCGTTTTAGAGTAGTCTCACCTGCTGTTAAAATATTGCAGTCATTAAGCAATAGTTTGTGCGCGCTTACTCAAAAATCTACTCTGACTTCTAACTTCTAAGCTTTTGTTGTTGAGGAGCTCTCATTTTCAGAAATACGACTGTAAAAGTGGCACTTCTCCTGTCCAGTAAGTGGTCCAAGACATGCCTGCACGCTACTCTGGAAAAGGTTCTTAGTACCTTTACATATGCACAAGCCAATGTGAGCAGGAGGGAGTGAGCTTGATTTTAGTCTGCTTCATAAATCATCAACAGTGATATCCGTCAGGTTTTTATCTGCAGAATATTACCTTAACTATCAGTGATAAAATCAATGGACACCCTATTCAGATGGATTTTGGGGTCCTCAATAAAGTTAGCTGTAAACATTTTCTTTCGTTTTATCATTGAAAAAAATGAACACATAATCTCGCATCATTTGTTTTAAACATAGTTTTTATAAAAAATAAATCTGAAGCTAAATCTCCAACTTGTGGCTTTTAAGCGCTTCTTTTTCTGCTGCACATATACACTGTTCAATTAACTCTTACCTGAATGAAGTTCCTTCACCAAAGACGACATTGTGTTTGTAATGGAATCAGCTGCTACCAGAAGATCATTGCGGAGGTTCCTCCTTGCACCTGGGAGGAAAGCAGACACAGAAACGTCAGGTACAGCCAACGCTGCGTTACCTTCTCCCGTCCTACTTGCACCGTGATGCTCAACCACACATCCCTCACCAAGCTCCATATATGATTTACTTCCCTTGGAAAGGAGGAGGATAGCAGTAGGGTCTTAAAACCTCTTCCTGCCCAACGGCCTCTCAGGCACCACAGCTGTAAGGCAAGACCCCTCTCAAACCAGCCTGGCTTAGTGAAGAATTTTGATTTGCTCGGGAAGAAGCTAGTTCTGCTCGACTGCCAGTCTGCTTGGCTGACTCGCTATTACACTGCTCTTTTCCTTGACAGGGACAGCGCTCATCTCGAGACAGACATCATCTCAAGAAGTACGGGTGTTTCTTCCCTCAAGACAGGAGTTGTCGGAGGCTGTCTGTTGTGCGTGCTCTTTTGTTTTGTTTAAAGTCATGACAACACTGACTTCTCTGGTGTAACAGATATTGCTGAGGTTTGAGAGGAATAAAAGATAACTGAATTCTAGTCCTTGGCAGAACTCTCCCTCTTGCATGGCCGGAGGAAGTAACACTCCTCCTCGACGTGCCACAGAGCAAGGGGGAACGGGACCTTGCAGTGACACTTACCTACCCCGCTCCAGCAGAGCGAGTGGCCCAGGCACTCGTGCTCTGCAGGCCTCTGCTAGAGGGACCTGCTCCCCACAGAGGCACCTCAAACATCTGCCACGGCTGTGCAAGTACAGCGGGGAAGAGTGAGCGCCCCAAATTTGCAAAGGACACGTGAAATGGCCACCGCCCCTAAAAGAGATGAGCAAGGCCAGCGGGAGCCACTGCAGCTCTGGGATGAGTCCTACCGCCTCTTGCTGACTCTGAGAAGATAACGATCTTGTTATTAACCATCTATTCTGACTTCTCCGCGTCGGTCCCGCCGTTAGAGTGAGCTGTATTCTAATGGCAGAGCCTCCTGTTGATTTCAGTCCAATTTGGTCGCACCCCAGCAACCGCAGATGTCACAGACGTGACTTCCTGTTCTTATGAAGCCCCCTCTCCCCGGCACCTTTTTGAGCCGTGCAGCGTTGCTACGGTTTTATTGGGAGGCTTTGAAGGCATCAGTTCATATTTTCTGCCCCAGCAGGTGGTCTTCAGGCGCAGTTTCTCAGACTGTGGAACCGATGGCCCAGAGCCGGGGATTTGCCGGGAGCACGTCCTTGTAGCGTTTCATTGGCCTACCTCTCGCCATTCCCTGCATTTTCACTCCTCATAGAAAATGGCTTTAGGCAGTCTGTTATCCAACACATGCACCAGATGTCCAAATCAGTGTAGCCTCCAGGAGTCCTGCTTTGATGCTGAGTATCTGACAATGCTCTAAGATCTCTATGTTTAGGATCCTGTCCTGTCATTTACTCCAGCAAGGGCAGGAAGACAACACATGTGGAATTAACAGAGACATCTGATGTGACGTTCTGCAGCTGTACTGAACTGCAGTAATGACAACTGTACATTACACGTTCACTTTTGTTTGAAGTTGGATGCCTCTCTCATTCCAGACACGCTGCTTTAATCTCCCAAATGCTGCGCCGGCTCTTGACTCTCCTCTGCGCAACTTCGTCCTTAGTTGTGGCGGTGCGCGATCGCCTGCTGCGACCTTTCGCCTATGGATTTCAGTGCTGTTTTAGCACTGTCAGCACACGCTACTGAGCTGCCGTGCTTTCCAATGAGGTTTCTTTTTACTCCAGGTTGTGTTGCCAACCGAGCAGCGGCACCGCCGACACAGTAACGTGCGGGGCATTTGTAAGCGTGAGCAAACGCTGTGCGATTTACGGGAGAAAAATGCAGACCGAGGGCCAACAGGTCTGGGGCCTCTGACTTAGCGGAAGCCTCTGCATCTCAGAAAACGCCAATGGTGATACACGACCGAAAGGAGACGCCTTTATCCAATGTCCTGGACGTTGTCGTTGCATGCAAAAGTAAAGCAGGGCCGCTGCCCTGCTTGGTGGCACTTTCGACAGTGAAAGGTTGCAACTTTCCAACCTGTATCTCCTGCGAAATGAGGGAATAACGTTAGCAAGCCTGTCTGGACATCTATGTGCAGGAGCCTCTGGAAGCCCTCCTGGCTGGTAGTATCAAATTATTTTATTATGTGAAAACATAGAGATTTTTATCCTGTTTCCTGTGAATTTGCCTGATTTTGCCTGATTAATGTGAAATCGCAGTAATTGTGCAGATTGCCTTTCCGGAAGGATCATTCCAGGAAACTTATTAGGAAGTCTGCTGACCATTTTTCTTGCAAGAATTTTTTTCTAGTTGCTGAGAGAAATAAGCTCTCTCTGTGGTTATCACAAGACGAACGTTCACCTTTGTTTGCAGAGGTGGATTGTATTTGCGTCTCAGGAGTCCTCAGGGACTGCTTTCTTCTCTTTCAAGATGATAAACAGCAGCATTAGTTTTCTAATTAGATGGTGACCGCTGTATTTGAGTATTTCACCAGCAATACCACGAGAGAATTCTTCTAATATTGCATTACTGTGTTGTCCCTGTGGTGAAGTGGGAGATCAAGAGATCACCTATGGAGGAATCTTATCTTAAGGCCTACTACCAGAACCACTGAGATTCAGTTTTTCAAAGGTTTCCTTCTCTAGATCTGTTTAATTTCCTTCTGACCCTGACAGGGAAGCTCACAGAAGACTTGTGATCTAGGCGGAAAGACAAGATGTAGGCTCCTATTAATAAGAGAAGCTGATGGCCCTACCCATTAGTAGGTCACCTCAGCAAGGAGAAGTGGAACAGAGCTGAGATCTTCACTCCTCTTTCCTCTTCCCTTCCATTGTGACATTTTTACAAGAATCTAGTAGATAGGCGTAAGGTAGCAAAAATAATTTAAATATTTTCTGTTAAAAAACATAAGATAAATGGCACTTTTCTGCAAGAATTTTATAATGCAGGCATCGCCTATAGTTTTTTTGCTGCTGCGCCACTAGCAATACCAAGCCGCTGTGACATGGGTGCTACGCAAGTCCTTCGCCCAGCCCCACGAGTTTTATGCAACACCTGATACGTTGCAACATATATCTGAGATGCTGTCAGATCTTAAAACCTAGAAGAAGCAGGTTTCCACTTCAGGCAATATTGACAGGTCCTGATGGAGTTCATACCCTCATGAACCAGTCACTCAGGGAAAAGGCATGAATGAATCCTTGATTATCACATGAGCTCCTACAAGAGCCAGGAGTCTGAGGAAGGCAACTCTGACTGTAAACCGTGCAGAGAGAACTTTGCTTTGTCATGGCTTTTGCTTGTGTCTCTGAACAGAAAAGCAAATGAACAGAGAACAAATTTTGATGCCAAAGCAATATTGCAAAATGAAAAAAAAGTGTGTCAGTTAACGTACTACTATAATCATGTGCTCATCGCTCCTAGCTGCAGGAAGGAGAGCTTTTCATCTCTTTGTACTTTCCTCATTAAAAAAAGGAAAGGGGAAAAGGATGAACCAGATAGAGCAGATTTTCTCGGGAACTCGTAGGACTCCTTGCACTGCTGTTCCACTTTATGCAGCCTGGAAAAAAGAAAGCCAATCTGCAAAGGGGGAAGGAAAGGCAGCTGCCAAAGAAATCAGTTGAGAGCTCTCGGCTGTACCATCAAACTCGCTGCAGAGATGAAGAGGAGGCGACTGGACCACCCACAGCAACAGATGGAGTGCTGTGCCTCTGGTATTTGGCATCTTGCCTCTCTGGAAATGCCTGCTTCTGCTGTCGTTTCTGGAAGTGTTTAGAGGGATGAGGAGCTTGTTCCTACCGATGGGATCGGAAAAAGACATATCCTACTCACAGAGGGGTTGTAGATACTCAGTGTTTTCGGACTGGACTTCTTTCATCATCTCACCTGCGCGCTGCCTGAAATTTTGGAGAACAAGTAACAGAGCCTGTAATTATACTGAGTGTGCTGAAGGCTTGCAGTCCTTGCTGTAACCCTCTAGACTCAAATGCTAATTAAAAGTATTCCTTGCTAATTCCTGCTCCTCTGCCACCATTTTGTAGTCTCCTTCTTACCTTCTTCTGGCTGCAGCTCATTTTCCAATTAGCAGCTGGTAAATGCAAATTGCTATTTAAAATGTGTTTGCTTACAGATGTATCATCAGTTCCATGAAGTTTATCTTCATGGTTTCTCTGTTTTGAGAACACCATTCATCTGACAAAGGCATCTGATACTGATATTCACGATCTTCCCTGGCCAGCAAGAAGCACGCTCCTGAGACAACACTACTTGCAGTTTTGTGATAGCAGTCCGTTAGGGAAACAGTGGATTTTCTGCCTTTTCTTCCTTTATTATCGGTAGGTGAAATACAAAATACGAGTGGATGTCCACCTCAAGAAATGTGGCTAGGGAAGGTCTATTTGAAAATAACTAGGACTGAGGTCTTCAGCTAACAACCAGGCCATGCTATAGCATTAAAGGTCCAAAGGGTTACAGGCAGACGTTTCTACTGTAAAATGTAAAACAAAACAAATCTGCTACATGCATCCTCAGGTGGATGTTTGTTCCTAAGCTGAGATCGCATCGGAGTCTCCTGTGGCCCCGTAATTCAGAAACCACCTCTGTGTTTGTCAGAAGTACTCGGGGAGCCCAGCTCCTGGAGATGTTTCTCTCGGAGCTCTCCACCCCAGACTGCTTCTGGAGTACTGAAGAGTTAGCGTTCTGGACCAAAACGGGCAAAAAAGAGGAAGAGAGTGCACAAAACCTGAGTGACACCACCCCTGAGAAAACCAGAATACGGGCACCCATTCTTACTGAGAACGGCTTCTTTCCGTATGAACGCAGTTGAAGTAGATAGAGGTAAATAGCTACTTTCCACCTTCCTTTGCAGTGCAATGGCTCCCTGAAGGTAAAAAGCTCTTATTTGCCAAATCTTCTGATACCAGCCTGACAGTCATGTCTTTGTTTGCCTTCTTCTAGCACTCCTGGAGAATCAAGCCTATATTCTTCCTCCTCTTCAGTATCTGGGGACAAGGTTGTGGTCTGTATTGGGTAGAACAAGTTTCCATTTCCTCTGGTTGTCTTCACATTTTGAAGCACTTTTTGAGCCAAAAATGGCCTTGACATGGAAAAGTCAGGTTTTTTTTTTTTTTAAAGGTGCCGGTAAATTTTTTTTTTTTAAAGAAGCAGCAGCTAAGTATAAACTCACACTACCTACAGAAGGTGGGGACTAAAAATATGCATGTTAACTGCTGCCCTGATTTTCTCCAAAGCACTATAAGCTGTAGTGTACAGAAATGGACAGCTTCCCCTGGCAAAATGCATTCCATTTGAGCCTAGACGTATGGATTTTACCAAAGAATCAGAGGACAAAGTGTACAGAGAGGAGCACAGCCAAAACTACCCGATTATCCAGCGCTGATTGTGTCTATTTATCGAGCAGTTGGTAACAATGAGATTAGGCAAAAAAGGGTATTTTGGTTTTGGTTTTTGTTCTTTTCTCAAATGCAAAGGGGAGTAATGTGCAGAAAAGGTGTACAGGAGATAACAAGAAGTTCTGACCTCTAGCTGAGTGAGGGGAAGTTCTGACCTCTAGCTGAGTGAGTGAGAGTGAGGGAAAGTCAGTAAGGGAAAAGGGGGGGGTCCACGCTCTTACGTGCCCTTGGTGTTGAAGGCACAGCAGTGCTGGCCAGCATGCACCGGACGTAGAGGGGTCCGGTTGGATACCTTGGCCTCTGCGTGCTCCGAGAGCACCCGGATGTACCCAAGGGACCTCCAGAGATGGTTGTGTTACTGCTCCATGTCTTTACATTTTCTCTTCTGTTTCTTCATTATGGTTTTCCTTTCTTCCCTTCTCTACCCTGCTTTGCATGTTTAGTACTTTTTCCTTCTTCTCCTTCTAGGGTTGCTGCACATCTATGTATTGGGGAGATCTTTGAGTGTTCACAGGTGTGTACACCAGCTAAGTGCTCTGCCCAGTACAATCTTCACTGATTTGCACTGCAAAATTTCAACTTTCTTTTCACCTCATAACCAGGAGACAGGTAGCTAAATGTCTTCTGGATAAGAGTGCTACTTGTTTCTCTGCTTTTGGTTATTAAAGTGCCTTTTTGCTTAATCTTTGGGTCACATTCTAATAAAGGGTCTCTAATTTTCCTCTTGCAACTCACTGCGCAGTGACGTAAAGCTCAAATACACACTTTGCCGATACAATCAGTTTTGAACGTAGAGCTGCTCCATTACTTGCAGGCATAACTTTGTGAGATGGGAAGATCCCTTCCTTGGAGGCAAGATCATGATCACAGAAATAATTCCATTAAGTTGTAAAGATTAAAAATATGCCCCCAGTCTACTTGGTCTAGAACGCAAGAAAGTGTTTCATTAATTATTGTATCTAAATTGGTAAGTTACATTTGTGTCATACCCCATAATGGCACTTTTAAGACCAGATGTGATCCTGCTTTGCATGACACTCACCTTGTGTGAAAGCTTCCTGAACATCTCCCCCGACACCTGCGAGTGAGTCCTGAGGGACGTGCGTTGGGGTAGAGCCAGCTGAAGTGGATCTGACGGGCATGGGCATCGGGCGGCTCGCTCCGTGGGTGGGCGAGGAGTGTGCCGAGCCTGCTGCTTGAGCCTGGATGGGAAATGCAAGACACAGTTTCCAAATTCTTAACTTGATATTTTTTAGGTCAACGTCTAAAAATAATTCCGTAAAAAAACACGTAAGGGAAGACACTTTACCAAAATATTCACGATCTGAGTAATGTCAATGTATGATCAGTAGACACTAAACTACTCCTTTCGCACTGGTGAGGAAGGAGAGGTGGCAGCACGCAGCACTGGGTGGCTCACGACTTGGGCTAAAAGCCCTGCAGGCTGGGCTGCGCACGTTGCTCACAACTGGTTCCTCGGGGGTCGCAATGTCTGGGATCTGAGCTACGGCCTCTAAACCATACGGTCACTCTGTTGCTCGTCAAACATCATGTTAAAAAAATAAAGAAACAGATAGAATCATCTTCACAGCTGAAAAGATGCCATCAGCTACTCTGTGTCTGGCTATCTTTCCCGTAGGCAACAACATGAAAAACCCTAGAGCTGCCAGGTGGCACCGAGATGGGGAAGGTGCCTCCTCCCACCACGCCGGGCAGACATAGCAGCCCCAAGTGTCCAGTTTTATGCACACCTACAGTGACATTCAAGAGACCCATACCAATTTGGATTAGTTCAGGAACCAACATTAACTTAAGGGGGAAAAAAACCCCACAATTGCCTATCATTAAATCAAAACAAAGAAATGAAATTTGGGAACCTACTAAAAGAAAGACAAGAGCACTGTTTTGTAACGTACAGGTAGCGTGTTTGGAGCGCAAACAGAATACCTTTGACCAGAGGTTGACCAAACACACACAGGCCATGCAAATGATTTATTAATATTTGTGCAGGAAGTTCACATATCCTACTAAAATTGTTTTTTTTTTTTCCTACATTTTCTTCCATCTAGTCTTTAACAGCCAGACTGGCCAAGAACATCCCAGGTTGCCTTTCCGCGGAGCCTCGGGAGCGGCTCTGCAATAAGGATAGAGGTGGCTTCCCAACCCAAGCTTCAGCACTCCCGTAGATCCTCCGGCTCTCCTCGCGTGGGGTGAACACAGAAGGGAAGTGTTGGTCTCAAGGGTCTTTCAGACCCTAGCGCTGAGCGTGTGCTAGAAGTCTGCTGAATTTCATAGCGAATGACAAACACAAGGAGAATAACTTTTTCCCCCGTGGCTTGAAAGCTCCGAGCTTCATCGGCTTCAAAGAAGACGCTGCCGGAGCAAAGCCTCCAGAGCACAACCTAAGCCAGACACCGTCGTGAGGAACGAGTGAAGGAGAGGGACTGAGGAACGCGCGAGGAGAGGAGAAACACAGGACGCTACCGACGTGCGCTTGTTGGCGCCACGTTTTCTAAAAGACCATTTCCTTAAGCGCTCGCTACTTGACGGCAGCAAGAGCGAAAGCGAAGAGGCGCGTTGGTCAAGCCGTGCATCTCTCCAGCTGCTTCAGGGCGTTTTCAGAGAACTCGGCTTCTCGTCTCCCTCTTCCCACCAGTCACTGCGGAGGTCTCTGCAGCCCAGCTCCGGAGGGGCAGGACCCCGCTCCGACCCGGCCGGGGCCGGGGGGCTCTGTGTCACGCCGGGAAGCCGGTCCCCTCCGCACCATCGCTCCCCGAGAGCGAAGCGGTGATCTTCTGCGGCGGCGAAGCCCTTGCTCCGAAGTGCTGCGAACGCCCGGAGTCCCATTTGATTGTTAGCGATCTCGTTATTGTCCGCAGTGATTTGTCTCTTCCCGCAATCTCTAAATCTTATCGCTCAGCTCCGCACTCATTACAGGTCAGTTCTGTCTTGCTTTGCCAGCGCAGATTTATGATCCGTAGCTGTATTTATAGTTAAACGCTGCGTGCTGACATCGATCGGAGGAAAGCTGCTCCTAAATAATTACAGATTAAGGGCATTAAAACTTTGCGGCCCTGCTGAATAAGGCTTGTGTTTTTGAGTTGGATCTCCGTCTTCTGTTTTTAGGCCATTTAGGCATCTTTGCTCTGCGTTTCCCTCGGCACTTTCCTCCGTGCCCACCCGGCCGGGGCCGGGGGGCTCTGCGTCACGCCGGGAAGCCGGTCCCCTCCGCACCATCGCTCCCCGAGAGCGAAGCGGTGATCTTCTGCGGCGGCGAAGCCCTTGCTCCGAAGTGCTGCGAACGCCCGGAGTCCCATTTGATTGTTAGCGATCTCGTTATTGTCCGCAGTGATTTGTCTCTTCCCGCAATCTCTAAATCTTATCGCTCAGCTCCGCACTCATTACAGGTCAGTTCTGTCTTGCTTTGCCAGCGCAGATTTATGATCCGTAGCTGTATTTATAGTTAAACGCTGCGTGCTGACATCGATCGGAGGAAAGCTGCTCCTAAATAATTACAGATTAAGGGCATTAAAACTTTGCGGCCCTGCTGAATAAGGCTTGTGTTTTTGAGTTGGATCTCCGTCTTCTGTTTTTAGGCCATTTAGGCATCTTTGCTCTGCGTTTCCCTCGGCACTTTCCTCCGTGCCCGGCGGGGCCAGGGCCGGGTGGCACGCACAGTCGCACAGCCCGGACATACCGCCGACACCGCCGGCGAGAGCAGCACGTCTGACACGAAGCTCTGGCGGCAAAACCACCGCACGTCTGCAAAGTGACCTGGCCGGGAGAGAAGACAAAGACCCGGCGGTGCCGATTTCAGCCACGCTCGCATCAAGCCTGCTGCCGCGTCCGACTTTCTGTGCAAAACACCCTCGAAACAAGGTGTTGCTCGCGACCAAGTAAGGACAGCTACACCTGCCCTCCAATTTGTGGGGCAGTGTGCCTCAGGGCCCAGGCTTGGGATTAAATGTAACACGTACATCTGCTCCCGGTTGCTTTGAAACCATGTTAATACGGCAGGGATTTACAGAGCTAGGTAAAACAGTCTTGCAACGCTCGTACCTGCAGAGGAGGAGGGAAAGTTGTGTCTTCCAATCCACGAGTGAATAAAGAAAATGCATGCGCAACACCAGCGACTTCGCTTCCCTGCACCACAAACTACAATAAATCCATAAAAAAAGGACCTGAAAATGCACGGTAACCGGCAGGAGCGTCTGGATTTGCATTCGGCTGTGGAGAAAGAGGCCGCGTCCACCGCTCGGAGGTGCCGATTTAGTCCGGAGCCGGTCCGGCAGGGCCTGGGGCTCGGCGCGGGCAGCAAGGGAAGCATCTCCGGGCAGCAGTGTTTGCACAGGCCCAGGGCTGT